CCCTTTCCTACTTTTTGACAGCAGCCATCAGCCAACGAATTCACTGCCCAGTCTGTCTTACCATTTATATTAATGCAGCCTCCATACACTTTTACAATGCAGAATATTACTTTCCAAAACAGCTTTTGGCACAGCCAAAAAATGAGTACCCCACCTTCACCTATGTGGGGAAGGACCACCTTCTTCACATCCTTCCCTGAAGCTGATTACTGACTTACAAAGATTTTACTGCAGACCAAAAGATCTAAAGCTGTACATCACTGGAGGATATTAAATGATAAGCAAATTCACGTTTCTAAAGTAATTCTACCAATTTATTAGCAATGCTAGCTCCTGTTCCACAGTAGGGGAGATAATAACGAAGCCTTGTTAAAGGGCAATGCGATATCTTTCATGTAATGTCTTTTTTTCATGTGACAAAGTCATTAAAGGAGCACTCTGTTTTCTTGAAGCTTCAAACAATAGTCTGAATTAAATCTCCTGTGCAAAATTAAGGACAGTAGTTCACTGGAAAAATAAGCATCTGTTCTTGCTAATGCTAACGGCCTTCTAAAAATCATTAAGCTATTCTAAATTGGCGACGATAAAAAAAAGCAGAACTGCTTTAACTTTTTCCAAAGCAAAGAAAAAATCCATTTCCCTTGCAAATATTTCTTTGTTCCAAATTTGCCCTAACCTGTATCTCATACACCATGTCTCCCTTAGGGCTGCCTAAATCCCCTTCTCCTACAATCATCTAGCTTGAACTCAGTGTCTTTTGAGCCCAGGTTTGTCTTCACTACGTTGATGAGGCTGTACCTCCCACGTCCTGCCCACCTCTCCTTCAGTCACAGGCTGGAAGGAACTGGAGCATGGGGCACGGCTTAAACACAGGCGTCAGCTCCAATTCCCTTTTGGCCTCAACTAGGGACAGGGCTGGTTTGCAGTGGGAGTAGCTCGCACAGCTTCATTCTCCAAGGGCTACCCTAAAATTTCAGCTGGACTACGCTTTCTTCATTCGCTCAATCCTTCTGCTGTACTGCATTTTAAACTCAGCTTCGCTTGCCCTAGATAGGTAACACTTCTGCAGTGTAACAACTGAGATGCTGTTTAAGATGACTTCTTAAAAACTTTCAGAGGTACCAGCCCAGGTTTGGACACAGAGCACCCAAACACAGTCCAAGACACAGGCTAATCATGAAACAAAGCAAAATATCTCCTAATGAGAAAGTTAAAGATGCTGTAGGTCCTGTGCAGATGGCAGAGAAGAACCTCACATTACACTTAACCTCTCCTGCAAAAAGACCAAGGACTCGGACAGGGAAACCAAAAGCCACAAGAGAATACAATGGATTGATTGCCTGGCTTGGTATCCAAATACAGCAGAAAATGTTCATCTCAGCTCCATGATTTGCTCTGTCCTGGTTCTCATCTACATCACAGGTGACTTCTACAGACAAGAAGAATTTCTGATGAATGAAATGCACGCGGCCAGATGGTGCCTATTTCACCGTAGCCACGCGCCACAAAAGGTAAGCGAAGTTCCAACTTAAGGTTAAAAGCTGGTACTGTTTGTACAAATGTTTGGGATCTTTTCCCCCTCCTACTGTGCTTCTGTTTTGGTGGAGCAGGTGTAAAAGAAAGAGGAACATCACTTCTTTGAGCTTTTTACTCCTGTGTTGTCACGTTACTCCAGTGGCCTCTGCTGTAATGGTATTTTCTACAGGTTGGTGGGTTACAGGTTCACAAACTATAAGGAGAAAGATCAATTAAAAAAAAAAGGCTTTTAATAAAGCCCCAGGATAACAATTTATTGTTTAATCATTAAACTCATCAAACTGCAAATTAAATTAAAAACCTGGAGTAAAAATGGACTTGAACGCTGTGGTCATGTCATCTGCTGAAGTAATCAACCACACCAGCACTGTATACATAACATTACAACTCCCATTTGAAGCAAGGATGTAGGCATTTAGCTCATCTCCTTGTGGCCTTTCAGCCAAACCCAGAATCACAGGGGTACCTTCTGACCCCCGCTCCTCACCAGCACTGGCACAAAGTAACTCACAAGAATATCTCCGCACCTTTGCCTTACATACATCATGTAACACATAGGATGCTGTGGGAACATGAAGGTAATGGAGCGCACCAGCACCCAAGCAGGATTTGACCCAGTCCCAGCTTGCTGTCTTTCCAAGCCTTCCTCCCTGTAACAACTGCCCAGGGTGCAATTAGACTGTCCTCAACCAGCTGCTCTCTCATCAGGTCAACACTTGACCAGTCAGGACCAGTGAGGAGGCCAAAACAATACCCAGGTTCCCCCGGCAAGGCCCTTTCTATGAATCCCACCTTGGGGGTCATGCACCACAAGAACAGCTAAACAAGTCACACCCATGGAGAAAACACCTTTTCTGGTGTACATACTCACGTGCCCTGCAGGAAAGAGTTCAAGACCCCTGCAAAAAGTAGGCACATATCCTTGGTAATCCACAATTAACTCAACTCCAATAAAGCTTTGCAGTAATTGCCTAGTCCTGCCTGGTGTTCAGCATCCTCCATGATGAAGCTTTGGCCGTTACCTTCGGAAGACTCAAAACACCATCTCAGCAAATTTCCAGTGTCTCCCTGCATACCCATACGCTGCAAGGGAGATGCAACTCTTGGGGCTTTAGGCAGCATGAAAACACAAATAAACGTGGCAATTTCAAATTCATACTACTTGGATCACGCTTTGGCTCCCACTCCCTTCTTCCCAGTGATGATATTCATCTTTCCAAACAGCTCCATGTGCTGTCTTTGGTAATCGCAGCCTCCAAACACTTGTCCCTGTTATGTCTACCAACATCTACATATTCAAAACAGTCTCTGAAGCACATGCTAAACATCTGTTTCAACCACCTTTCTCTTCAAGAGTTTAAGCTGTTTGCTGGAAAACTGCCATCCTAATGGCTAGCTCCTCTGCTAGTGAACTGGAGAATTCATTTTGTATTTATTGATTGTTCCCTAATGAAGAGTCATAAAGGTGCCAGAGACTCTTGACCAGACACTACTTAATTAGTTCCAAAGCACATAAAATCCCAAATCAAACCGAGCTCTTTGTCCAATGGCTCACTCACTGGAAAAGAAAGAGATGACATCATTTGCTGCTTACACTGAAGTCTGTAAAATTTTATTCAAAAAAAAACCAAACCCAAGGAAATTAAAAAACCTATATAAATTGTTCATTTCCTTCCAGTTCCTGAGACACCAAAAGGTTCTTCCAGAATCAAATGACACTTTGCTAAAGGAAGTATTCTCCGTAAAGGACTCAGCAATATGCATCATGCATTGAATTTATTTTAAACTAGACAAAGGCAAATACCAATATAACACTTGTCTCCTGAACAATACAGAGAAAGGTCTGTGTTACGCACAAAGACAAAACGCAATGCATCCAGAAGGTATTAAAAATTACCTCTAACAGATTTGTCTTTTCATCATTGTGGCTCACAAAATACTCCAACTTTTACGTTTTCTCAAACTATACTGTATTGGTATATTTGCTGAGGGTACTTATTCTCAAGAAGGCAGAGAGATAAGCAAGAACTCCATTAAACGTCGAGGTTTTTTTCTCTTAAACTAAAGCCTCAAAAACATCGTGAATACCTGAGCTCTCGTTGGAAGTCTTTCAAATTAAGTCACTCTGAAAGTTAATTCCCTCTCTTCCATATCATTTAAATTCTCAATTAAATAACTCAGAAAATAGCAGAAGGAAAAAAGCTGAATAACAGGAGGCAGCAAAAGCCCATCCCTATGTGGCAATAGCACTGCTTCTTCTATTATGCTCCCTACTTGTTGGAGGCATCTGTCTTCAGAGCAGCAAGGTGGCTTGGATTCTCTGGGATAACGTTAAGAGGCACACAAGGAAACGAAGATTTATGGTAAAACAAAATCCATTAAATACAGAAGTCCTTATAATAAATGTACAATCCCTGCTTGTATGTTTACAATGGGGGGCCTACAGGGAAGCTGTGGAGGGACTTTTTACAAGGGCCTGTAGTGACAGGACAAGGGGTAATGGGTTTAAATTGAAAGTGGGGAGGTTTAGATTGGATATCAGGAAGAAGTTCTTCATGGAGAGAGTAGTGAGGCACTGGAACAGGTTGCCCAGAGAAGTGGTGGATGCCTCATCCCTGGTTCTCTTCAAGGCCAGGCTGGATGGGGCTTTGAGCAACCTGGTCTAGTGGAAGGTGGCCCTGCCCATGGCAGGGGGTTGGAACTAGATGGTCTTTAAGGTCCCTTCCAACCCAAACCATTCTATGATTCTGTGATGTAATTATTACCACGTATGTAAGAAAATATGGCTAACAAGGCCAAAAACTTAGTCTCCCTCTTTCCTAAAATCTTCCACTCCATCACCAAACACCTGTTCTGCAAAAAATTCAAATTCCTATCCATAATCGGTCCTGTGTTCAGCAGTCGACGTGATACCAGCTTTAACCATCTGAAGCTTCTAGCCCTCTTATCATAATGATAAGCATATTCCATCAGAAAGAGAGCGGGTTTGCACAAACAAGAAAGTGCAGTAGGACAAGCATTTAAAGGACGAAACAACCACAGTAAGGCAAATATCCCAAGAAGGCAGAATAGCAAAGGTATGTATGGGCTTCATTAAGACACATGAATTTGGCTTCTTTGTCATAATCCATTCTTTTTTCTTGTTTTTTAAACTGCACTTTTTTTTTTATAATTGTAAACTTACACCAACAGCATCTAGGCTATCCAAGAGTATTTCAGTAAGTCTTCTGCAGAGTTTTGTTTTGTGCTGCCAGCAGATGAGATGAGATGCTTACCAGTACATCTCACAAGAAAATAAGCTCAAAACAATAGAAATAAAGAAAAAAGCAGAAAAGAAAATGACAGTACAACAGGGGGTTGTTGGGGAGGATCAGCTCCTCAACACAGGAGGATCAACCACAGAGAAGCTCAGGAAGGGTCACCAGCATGCTGCAGAGTGAAGCCACACAGAAACCTCTGCTTACCCCTTGTTCGGATTCCAGCAGCTCTGTTTTGACTCTGACTGCCGGCATCCCATCAAGCATTAACATTCTGTTCTCAAAGGCGCTGATGTCCTAAGGCAAAAAAGGACAAGGTTAATCAAAAAAATGATGAAAAAGACTTTAATTCACTGTTTTAGTTCTATGATACTGGAGAAGTTAAGTTTCTTTTAGCAGGAAGAAGTTAATGAAGATGTAATATTCATTCCAAGGAGTAGCTACCAAGTTACTACTTCTGTTAAAATAGTAAATTATACTTCCAGTTACCCTTAAGAGAACTAAGTCTTTGTAAGCAACATGGGAAAATCGTCTTCAATTACTATTTTTTAATTTGAAGTTAATCACGCAGGTGCACATATGTAAATTCCTTGCTTTAGAACTGGAAAGGAGAGCAGTGATGTCAAATAGCTTCAGGTGTTTGGCAGTATCGTCAGGTATATTTGATTTCCATCAAAACATTTGTACTTCGGTATTGGCTAGAGAAAACATACGCTGGAATTCAGGAAAGTTACAGTGAAGGTCTGTACACACACACACCCCACCCATAAATAATCACATATTGACAACACAATTTCATGTAATTTGTTATCTTGCAAAGTTATCGGTGTTTGCCAATGAAAATCTCCATACGCTCACCTCTGACACAAAAGAAAGAAGGAAGCACGTTAAAAACACGCACTGTCTTTGCAGTAATGGGCAACACATGCCGAGAGCTTCCATCCGACGAGAGAAGGGCAGAACTGTGCTTCCCTGAATCAACAGCTGTGCTACCAACATCTCATCCCGCTGTTGCTGGAGTGTTTTACAGAGACGTGCAAAACAACCTCTTGCGCCTTCAGTTCAATCCCTACCTCAACCTGAGTCCGTTGTCTATTCCAGCTGAGGCTCAAGGCTGGTGTTTGAAAGCTAGACCCTTCAGGTGCCATGCAGTTTGGACAACATGGAGAGAATTAAAAGCCATTTTAACCCTCAAGCCAGGATGTGACCTTACAAATCCAGACACCTTGGTCAGCAGTGCAGAAATACGAAGACATCGCGGCTATTTTTCACACAGCGAAAACTACAGCACGGATCGCTTATTAGTGACTCATTCACAGCCACTTACTTATCTGCAGCCCCATCCGAAAGGCAGCGCTCCAGACTGGAAACTCACCTCAGCTCTAACCATTACCTCGCAGCCCTCGGTAACCGGCGCTGTAATGGAAAAAAACGCTTTCCCCGTCTTTCACGGGCAACGGATCTGTTCAGTACTGCGTGCTGCTGTTATTCATAAGGAGTATGTTCATAGTCCTGTTTCCTATCGTGGCTGCTTCAAGGGAATTTTAAGACAAATGGTCTGTCCTAATGGAACTTCCAAACTACATTTTAAAACCTTAAATTATGATAAACATTTTCTTGTTTCCAATTAATGCACCTTCTCCCAGGATCTCCATTTCCAGGGATATAAATATTGCAGCAACTGTTTATTTTTGTATACTCCTTTACTTTATTATAATTTAAATAGCATACTGAAAAGCAGGGAAACCGATACGCCTATGCTCCAGCACGGTGCCACAGGGAGAGCGAATGACCTGCTTAAAATCCTCGTCGCCCTCGCTCTGAACCCCCTGTGTTCCAGCACACAGAGCTGCGGTTTGATCCTACAGGGCAGGCAGGAACTTGATGTGAAAGCAGATAAGCAAACGCAACAGTAAATGCTACCTCTATATTTTTTTTACTAAAAAGTAGATTTAAATAGTTCATAAAAAGCTGTAAACGCTGAAGTTGCAACATTTCAGATCAAACAAGTAATTGTCAGCAGAATACCCCTGCATTCAAACGTGTGAAGGAAGATTCAGAGGTTGCCCAGAGAAGCTGTGGATGCCCCATCCCTGGAAGTGTTCAAGGCCAGGCTGGATGAGGCTTTGAGCAACCTGGTCTAGTGGAAGGTGTCCCTGCCCATGGCAGGGGGGATGGAACTAGATGGTCTTTAGGTCCCTTCCAACTCAAACCATTCTATGGTTCTATGAAGATGTACCAAGCTGTTGAGGTGTCCCAGTCCATGCCACACTACTGCTGGATATCACCGTAGTCTGAGCATGACACAACAGAAAGACAGAATAAAAAAAAAAAAAAAAAACAACTCTTGCTATGTCTTCTCATCCATTTATTTTGTGCACCTTGATATTCAGCGTTTGAGGCATGAGGTGGGCAAAGAGCAGGATGCCACAAAACAGCTGGCTGAATTTGTTCCAGGCTTTTTGTTCCCAGCAAGGGCGGTGCACTGTTTACTTATCAGAAGCGGGTCTCGCCCAGCTCCAGCGGTTTGGATGCGGTTTGGGGTGGCAGGAGCCAGCCTGGCATCCTTCCTGCCTCCCCCGGCGCCTCTTCTGCAGGCGGAGACGTCCCTCTCCCGTCTTGATTTATACGCAGCGCAGCTGAGTTTTACAGCAGGATCAGGAACATACCATCACCAAGCTTTCCTGAGGCTGTTTAGCTCGCAGACAAGGAAGGATGAGCTGATATTGCTTGGCATCCCTGAGGAGGTCTTACCCGCCCGAACGAAGGGCCGAGGCTGGCTTGGCGCAGGCAGGAGGAGGGCGGAAGACAAAGCGCAAGCGAGGAAAGGCAGGTTTAATGAACTGTTAGAATCTGATTAGAGGCTAATGTCCCTTTTAGTGCTTTGTACCAATTTACAGCTGATATACTTGAACCATTTTTCCCCACTGGCTGTGATAAACTCATTAGTTTTAAAAATGCAAGCTAACCAGAGCCTTTGAAGTTTAAAACTGATAAATCATGAAAACCTGACTGGTTCATGTACCATTTAACACATTTACATTTAACTACATTTTCATAGTGCTCGCTTCCCCTTTTGTTCTCTAAAAAGCCCGTTTCTTAAAAGCAGCGCTCTGCCTTCAGAGCACTGGCCTGAAGAGGGAATGCTGCGAAAAGCTCTGGCTTTTGGGTCATTTATAATTCAGAGTAGCAATAACCCACAGAAGCAGATTCTTTCCAAATTATTTGATCCCTTCTGCACTGATAAATTGAAGGACATTGTGTGACACATCCTGGGGGCCTGGTAATGGCCGAGTAGATCCAGTCTGTAGGCTATACATAAGGATGACACGTTTAGCCCAATATTCGCTCAGAGAGCTGATCTTTCCAAACTGCGCTCTCCTGCTGTAACCAGCGTTTGCACTACAGTATGCTGAAAGCCATTCGGCAAAAAGGATGTAATTGCCGAGGTCTGCATACAGTGGGCAGTCATCTAAGGCAAAGGGGCTTGGCTCATCCCCACAGAAGCTGGGAGTGTGCATGGAGTTCCCTCGGGAGCCGCTCCGGTCGGCTGGGCAGATGGAGCATCCACACCTGAGCGATGCCAGGCTGCTCCAGCGCACCGTGTTAATTGATGGCACTCGGGAGACCCACCAGCAGAGACTGCCGATAGGATGTATCGAGCCAACGCGTTTTTCAGGCCCCAGTCCCCTCCTGGCTCACTCAGCCCCATCCCTCATTGACTGTGGCAGCCAACTTAGAGCCACCCAGCACTGCCCAGGTGAAGGTGACCTGGATTCATGTGACAGCCCTTCCTTCTCTGTCCTCCTACCTCCCACCCCAACCCACCTTGTAGACTCCAGTCACCCATCCAGGCAGAACACATAGCAGATGAATGTCCTAAACTGGGCACATAATCAAGCCTAACCCTGCATGACCTTACCAAAACATCTCTTTTTTTGGGTCAATAAACTAACTCGTCCTCAGAGACCAACCTCTACCTCGATGCCAGCCATTAAAGCCTTTCACTAATCATGCTTGGACATTTATTCCCTTAAGAGACTAAGTAAAACCACAAATCATACCCAGGTCCGTATGGGCAACTGCTGTATAAGCAGTTGTTACAGAAGATAGATAAGCTTTGGGGCTTCGAAGCTCATCTTCTGACAAACTATGGCCATCAATTTAGTAAAAAGGCTCTTGCCCCTCCTAAAAGGCCTACATTTTCAGTACAGTACCACTGCAACTACAACTGGTCTTTTCTCCACGTGGATGTTTTCTGTTGCAAGTTTTAACCATATTTGGCTACTTTAGAGGAAGAGAAAACAAAAACGTGCATCTCGTCCTGGTATAAACCCCACCCCAGCATACTGTAGTGCTTATTTAACTATTAATAACACTATTATGAAATTTGTCTGTGAGTAGGGTTGTGGGTTTATAGCCTAGTTTTTAATTTGGCCAAACCATACTTATAAGAAGCCTACTGCAAACTGCTAACAACAGGGGAGCTGGCATCACAACCAGCCTCCCATCCTGAGACAACACCAACTCCTCGATGACTTCCTCTAAGCACAAGATAACAGAGTCTGCATGCCTCATCCCTCCGTTCCTATCTCTGCCACTCATCAAGATTTTCACGTCCAGCTGCTCAGTACTAAAGCATCAGAAATGAAACTACACTCTCCCTGCCTTGGCCAGAATGTGATGAGCACAACCCCACACAACCCCGGGAAGAAAGCAGTGAGCTGTCTTCAGAGCACCCAGAACCCAGATCTCACATTTCCTTTGGATCGACCAACATTTACGTTCCTGTGGAAGGCAGCCTCTTCCTCCTGGTCCATCTCAGGAACACAAGAGATGATACACAGCAGCAAGGTGCACGATGCTAGGTGCTGTGTGACTAACGAAGGCGGCAGGCTTGCTTACTCACACTCAAGAGCTGCACGCCGGCGAGACAACGCCACTGGGGGTTCTGAACTTTTCCATGAGACACCGAAAACGTCCGGCTGACAAGTCAGTGTTTCCTAACTCCGGTGGGATGACCTTGGCCAGCTGCCAGACACCCACCCCAGCCACTCTCACACCCCTCCTCAACAGGACAGGGGAAGAAGGCAAGACGGAAAAGCTCATGGGTCGAGATAAAGACAGGGAGATCACCTGTGAGGTGACATCGCAGGAAAAAGCAGACTTGATTTCATGAAAACTAATTTCATTTATTGCCGGTTGAGACAGACTTGGATGGTGAGAAACAAAGACAAAAAGAACACGTCCCCCCAACCTCTCCCCCTTCTTCCGAGACCCAACTTCATCCCTGCAAC